TGTTTAATATAGATATAGTGTACTTATATATATATATATATATATATAAAACAATATATAATTATCATACCAGTAGGGACTTTTAACCCATTGGGTCTACTGACAGCATCTCTAAGTACCCTAGAGTCAGAAGCAGATCCTTCCCATCCAGGCAAGACATATATGAATTGCATGTCTTGGGAGCACACACCCAATACATTTGTGGCAATTTCTCCCTTTCTTGTTCTATACCTTGGTTTGTCTATTGCAGGGGCAAGAACCTTAAAATAGGTTCCATCTAAAGCACCAAGACAATTCTAAAAAAATATATATTATAAAATTAATATAGGTAATACAAAAATATAATATGCTAATTAAGCGAAATTGTAAATATATTGTACTTGAAAAAAACTCCACCTATCATCTGTACAATTAGTAGTTATCGGTTCAGGCTTCTTAAGGAGGAGACCATGGAGGCGCAACACAGCCTTCAGAACATTATTGAAGTGCTTACTAACTGTCTGACCACTCCGCATGAAATTAAATTTAATTTTGTGGTTCTTAGTGTGATGTGCAAGCACATTCAAAAACATTGCTACTTGTTCCTCTAAAACGACATACTTTGAATCAGATAATCCAACACTTCGCACCAACCCACATAAAAGCATGAAAGTACGCTTATTCATCCGAAGTTGGTCATGACAATTTATGTCACTATCATTGACCAATCTATTCAAATGGTCAATTTGTTTTCCATAGGGGTGAGGTGATCTAGGTAGTTGCAACCTAATTTCTTTCTTCTTGAATGCAGCATGTAAAATCACTATATACATAGCACATGCATAATTAATGGATGAAACAACATGTTGGAGGGCTAAAAATTCCTCAATCAACTCCTTTTTCCCTTTTTTAGTGGCATAATTATTATCCATCTACAAAAAATGAATAAACAATAAGCGGCTAAAATCAGCATAGAAAGTAAAACAAATAATAGATAATAGTATTAATTACCAAGTGGAGCATTGTTCAAATTTTTTCATACCACATGTTAACAATGTGAAAGTAGTATTAATTTCCTATAGAAAAGAAATGGAAAAGATCATAAAAAATAAAAGAACATAAAGAAAAAACAAATAATTTGGTGCCACACAAAATTAGCACTACATTGATGCACAAAGACATCAAAGAAAATGAAAGATATTTATTTTCAATGGAAACCCAACCTATTTATGTGTAAGCAATGATAAACCTATTTATGTCTAACACAATATTTTACCACATTATTTATGTGTAAGCAGTGATAAACATTATGGTACTATCTGTTTGGCAGAGGTTAAAAAAAGAAACATTTTTTCCCAAACTTTTTTCTTTTTAGTACCAAAAAAAAATTATAGTAAATATACTCTTGCCAAAAATAATATCTGTTTAGCATGTGCACACAAACTGGTAGAAAAACTATGATTTCTAACCAAAAATAATAATAATAACCATAGACAAATTTTGAATTCTACAGTATTATATTATTGTCCCTACCCTAGCATACTGTATAGTAAATATACTTTTGCCCGAGAGGAACATGCTGATTCCAACTATACCCTATAATTAGGCTACTTTGTTAATCAAACTTATTTCTGTAGGCAAGTACTTACTAAAGAATCAAATATACTAGTTCAACATCTTCAACAAAAACCAGCAAGGCTAGGAAAAAAGAATTGATGTCCACTTTGTACAATAACATGTACTTACTGAAGAATCAAAAATAGTAGTTCAACATCTTCAACAAAAACCAGCAAGGCTAGGAAAAAAGAATTGATGTCCACTTTGTACAATAACATTCAACAAATCTCCGAGATCGTTAATTGAAAAACCCATTATAAAAGATGATTTACAAATCTTCTCATCATGATATGATTGCTAGGATAACTCATCTTTATCAGTTTATCACTCCTCCAAATAGATGAGCATGTCACCAATGGTATTGGACTCCATAACTCAATAGGTGACAATCCTTCCTATACAGTCCTCCACATTTGATTAGAGTTCTGCTCTTTAAAGAGGCACCATTAATCTTAAGCAAAAAGTGGCACCTGACCTCCAAATTAAAAACCAAAATGAAACATCTTCTCCCAGCAAAAATTAGTGAAGAATATCAATTGTCTAAAGATCCATTTGCTAATCCACCAGACAACCAACCTAGCAATATGGTTCAACTAATCTAGCTTCCTAAATGTGATTGCAGGTGCTACCTGTTTCTCTGCAAGAAGGGTGAGGAATGGTATCTTTATTTTCTACTTTATTTAGACAAAATGCATCTTTCTTAGATATACACAAGAAGCAACCAAAGTATCATTTACACATAAATTTTAGCATCAGGTGCATCAATGCATGCTCCAACACATTAGTTACCCACTAAAAAGGGTCAGTAATTCCCTTTATATGAAGAAATTGCCACCTCAATATCTAAGTTAAAGACATGAAACAAAATTAATCAATTAAAAATTTAGCCATTGTTATTGTGATATACATTGTTGAGTCCATTTCCTAAAGATTAATATTTTAGCTTAGATGATTCTTGAGCAATCTCCGCAATTAATGATCAAAATTGGAAACTTGAGTCAAGGCTAGAACAAATAGATAGACAGATTTTGTGCAAGGTAAAACAATTATACATTGCATTAGCACATGATGTATATTGTTTTTTTTTTTTTTTAATCTTAGTTGGGTTGATTTTTATTGAGTCCATGATCATAGATAATTTAGTTTTGAAGTGCATAGACTTTACTATCTTATGAACTTGACCTTTAGAACCCATGGAATTGGTTTCAGGAATTTGTGCAATTGGGTTGAAAGTGTGGACCACATCAGTTTAATATACGAGTTCGAACATACAACAAAGCTGATGCAGTGTGTGTACGAACAAAAATGTTATTTTGGAGATACATAGAACATCAGTACCTTCTTCATTAGTACACAACTATAGTATGTATAAGAAAAGTAGCCCTTTAGGCATATTGTCAAACACATAGTGAGCATGAAATTGATATTGTAACAGGACAACACAACAAGAATAACGCAGCAGGGGACAAAATATTAAATTTCAGTAGGTTAAGAAGACAACCACAACACATAAATTTCAGTAGGTTAAGAAGACAACCACAACACATAAATTTCAGTAGGTTAAGAAGACAACCACAACACATAAATTTCAGTAGGTTAAGAAGACAACCACAACACATAAATTTCAGTAGGTTAAGAAGACAACCACAACACATAAATTTCAGTAGGTTAAGAAGACAACCACAACACATAAATTTCAGTAGGTTAAGAAGACAACCACAACACATAAATTTCAGTAGGTTAAGAAGACAACCACAACACATAAATTTCAGTAGGTTAAGAAGACAACCACAACACATAAATTTCAGTAGGTTAAGAAGACAACCACAACACATAAATTTCAGTAGGTTAAGAAGACAACCACAACACATAAATTTCAGTAGGTTAAGAAGACAACCACAACACATAAATTTCAGTAGGTTAAGAAGACAACCACAACACATAAATTTCAGTAGGTTAAGAAGACAACCACAACACATAAATTTCAGTAGGTTAAGAAGACAACCACAACACATAAATTTCAGTAGGTTAAGAAGACAACCACAACACATAAATTTCAGTAGGTTAAGAAGACAACCACAACACATAAATTTCAGTAGGTTAAGAAGACAACCACAACACATAAATTTCAGTAGGTTAAGAAGACAACCACAACACATAAATTTCAGTAGGTTAAGAAGACAACCACAACACATAAATTTCAGTAGGTTAAGAAGACAACCACAACACATAAATTTCAGTAGGTTAAGAAGACAACCACAACACATAAATTTCAGTAGGTTAAGAAGACAACCACAACACATAAATTTCAGTAGGTTAAGAAGACAACCACAACACATAAATTTCAGTAGGTTAAGAAGACAACCACAACACATAAATTTCAGTAGGTTAAGAAGACAAAAGAATTCTCTCATTTCGATTAATTTATTTGAAAATCAAAAGCGAAGAAAACAACAAAACAATAATGAGAACGAATATTTCGATTCCAAAAATAGTAAAACGATTTGTGTATATGTGTGTGTGTATATATATATAAACAGTACGGAAGATTGAGATGCGGATATAAAAAGAAAAAAAAAATACCAGCAGATGCTCCACAAAATCTGAAGATCAAAGATCTGAAGATGAGAGAGAGCTAGGGCACACTGTAAAGGAGAGAAAGCTTCTTTTTGCCTCTCCTTCTTGCTGTTGTTGCTTCCAAGGATGAGTAGGGCAGACTTCAGATCGAAAATCTAAAGAAGATGAGATCTTCTCTTTGCCTCTCCTTCATTCTGCTGCTGCTTCTTCAAGGATGAGCTAGGGCAACAATGGGTAAATTAGTAATCTCTCTCCTAATACCAACGGACTAAATTTTCAATACCAACGCTTGGGGCAGACTATGAATCCTGTTAGCAAGGACCATCTTTAAGCCTCCGGCTTAGCAATCCGTTATCCAACCCTGGAAACAAACAGAACATTAGGTGGGCCCCACTGCTATCTTAATCCCCTCCTTTCTTCTATACCCAATACAAACGGGGCCAAATTGTATAGAATAGGTCAAAGTACATAATCATAACTTATAAGCATCACATATTGTTACACTACTATTACTCACAATGATTTTCTAGAAATGGTTGACCGGTCCTTGAATCTTGACTTGCAATCACAATGCACATAGCACAACATATCGAAACATAGAATTACTCTCTTAATCAAAGTTACTTCTCTTAATCTTTTCTTAATCAAATAAACCGATCCCTTACTTTGCTCTTTAACCAATTATTTATGTTGGTTCTAAACTTATTAGTTCTCAATGGGTCATAATCCATGTCCAGGAAAATAGGAAGAAACGAAAGGAAACTGGGTTAGGAGAGGAAATAGCATGAAACAATTAGAAAGAAAGTGAACAGCCGTCACCAATTTGAACATATCTATTTTTGTACTTTGAATTTGGATTTGGGATGACCACCATTGGAAACTAGACGTCCGGGGCTTTAGGACTCATAAATGACTTTTTATTTAACTTTTTACTAGGGGCAACTTGTGCTATGCACGACATGTAAAAAAATTAATAATATATTTTTATATAAAATAATATGAATAGTTAAATTTTTGTATGCAAATTATGAAAACAAAGAAGATTGAAATTTACAATTTAAGTCCTAGAATTTTATCACAATTTATTTATTATTTTTTAATTTGTCACAAATTTAATCATCTAACTTTCTACATCCCTTGCTAGAATTACAAACTTAGGTGAGCTCAACCCAAGCAACTTGAGTTGAGCTTAAATTTTTTTAAAGATTGAACAATATAGTTTTTAATTAAGTGAGGACCTATGCAAAAATTCAAAAATTCAAATTAAATTTGGGTAGACTTGGGCAAAAACACCAAATAATCTGAGCAACCAAAACAAAATTATATATATAAATATATAAATTATTTGCTAATTTATTTTTTAAAATAATAAATAAAGTTAATTAACAATTTAATATTGATGAACAAAAGAAAAAAGCAATATACTTAAGATTTTCAATAGAATTTTTCTTAAAAATATTTTAAAAAATACACCTTTTAGAGAGGGATCATCGAACAAAGGATTGTTTGGGAAGTGCCATATTTAGCTTATTTTTTATTTATTTTTATTTTTATCTTTTTATCTTTTTTGGGTCAAATCACATTTCTACTTTTCTACACATCTTTTCGTAAAAAGTAAAAAGTATACTTAATTATATTTTTTGCGTTACATCTGTAGACACCCCATTTTTGACAGCCCGTATGACTCGGGCGCTTTGTCCTATGCACTTGATGATGAAAGTTACAGTGCGTGGGATTCAAATACTCAAGGAAGGACTCCAAGGTCGAGCTTTGAAATAGTCCCAACACCTTGTTATTTACCTTGTTTATACTTCAAAGGTCCCTTTTTGAACATTGTGCCACCCTGCACTGAGCTTCAAACAAAGAAACAAGGTACCACATTGGGGCCCAGTTGTACCTCATTAGGAGCCAGCCGTGGCCATTTGGGGGCGGCCGTGCCTTGGTGGCGATAAACACTGTTCTAGGCGGGAGCCCGACAGCTATCTATTTTTGAAGATATTTTCGACCTATTTTGCTCAAATTCTATAAATACATGCATATATATCTCTTTTGAGGGTTGAAGAATTTTCAAAGAGCCTATACACTCACTTGAGAGCTCCTTCTTCTTGTGCAAGCCATCTTTGAGCAAGCTTGCCATCTATGAACTATATCTATACACCATACACATCCTCACACCTTAAGCTTGGAGCCTTGGTTGAACCTTGAGAATCACAATTCAAGCTTGAGATTGTGTTTAGACCAAGTTTGATTCACAACAAGAGCTTGTCCTCTTTAAGAGGTATAAGCTTACCATCTTTTCTCTTGCTTTCATTTCTGTCTCCTACTATCAATTTCTTGTATCTTTGTATTGGTTTGAATCCATTTCAAGTGTTAGAACTTGGGTTTGAATAGCTACCAAAGGTAGAAGGGTTTAATATCCTTTCTTGAACCTTACTTCATAGCTCACACCCTTGTCTATACACTCCTTTTTTTGAGTCTTCAAACTGATTTTCAAAGTTCAAAAAAGGCCAAAAAACATGGTTTAAGGTCTCAAAAATGGAGGGGCTAGCCACCTCTCTTTGCTTTTGTTCACTAGCCTTGTGATTCGTTGCTATTTCCTATCTTTTTTGTACTCTTTAAACATCATCCTAGCCACTGGTTTTTACATATTAAGGACTGTTTAGACTTATTTTAATTCATTTAATTGGTTTATGCTTTGAATACTTTGCCTATCATGTTGTAAGTCCTCATGGCTTTGCTTGTTTAGGCCTTAGACATCAAGCCATTTGAGTTGATAGCTTTTCTTAGCTTGGATTTCATATTAAGAGTCTCATTCTTAAAATTAATCTCACACAATCATGTCCGCAACCTCCCTCTTTTCTTCTTTTCTTTTGTTTGAGATTTGTCTAAAAAGATTGATGGTTATTCAAGGCATGGGAAAGAGACTTATGCTCAATGGTTTAACCTCTTCGGAGGTTCGTCATCAAGGCATAGTTCCTCTTTCATGCCTCAGATCACTTCTTGTTTGATATTTCTTCTCATGTAGTGGGCTTAACCATCACTTGGGACAAATTGATTAAAGAATGGAAAGGACTAATAAAATGGGCGTAAAACCAATGAAACCAACGTAAAGAAAATAAGATTGCTTGGATTCGGCCGAACGTTATGCCAAGTCCACAGTGTCAAGAGTCATCACGCACCAATTCATGATGTGTTGATGAAACTTGAAGCGTCTTTTCCTCCCTCTTTGAGCTCATTTCATGATAGGAGGAAAGAATGGTTGTTCATTGCATTTATTGTTTTTTGTCCAATTGTCTCTGAAATCATGAAGTGATCAACTTGCTTATTGATGGTTTTGGAACCCACTTCGTTCTTCTCTTGAGTCTCTCCATGACAGAGAAGAGCAGAAAGGACAAATAGAGCTCAGAAAGGCTCTAACTGCACTATTTTCACCTCAGAGCACAAAAATAGGATTTTGCATGAAATCAGGGCACAACCAGCCTTGTTTGGGCCCGACCGGGCCTTATTGGAGGCCGGCCAGGCTCCAATGTTTGGTAAATAGTGTGTTTTTGCAGAAACAGAAGGCAATGGTTGAAGGTGAAATAGGGTAGATTCCAAGGAAGGCAGACAGAGCTGCTTCTAAAAACAGTCACGTACATACAAACCTTGTGCATCTTTGTTTATCAATGTCGTAAATTAATGTTCCCATTATTGTTGCAAGTAATTAGTTACCAATATAGTTAGCATTATTGTAAATATTATTAATGTTTATTCGTAATTGTCATAGTTAGTTAACCTAGCCACTTAGTTTTATTGTTTATCCTTGTTGGAATAAATTAGATAGCTAGTTAGTTATATAGTATTCATTAGCTTAATTCCTTCATTTGGTTTTGTAATAGTTGGTTTATTTTGGACACTTGGACATTTATTTGGACCCTCTTGCACGAAGGCAAAAAGTGTAATAAGTGTGTATGTCTTCCAACTCCCATTTCTTTCTCCCTTTTATTTCACTGCTTATGATGGTAGAATAGAGCATCATGTTTTAATTAGCATTTTTCATGTCCAAAGTATCCATTTGTCTTGCACGCTGTAGACGCGCCCGCGAAGGGGGCCCTCGCTACTATAGTTCGGACTCGATTTTGTTGTCACGGTTCTTAATCTGAACCAAAGAGTCCAAATCCGGCAAATTGTTTTGAGAAACAAATTTTTTTTGAAAAGAAGCGCCAAACATGGACTGCTTTGCCAGATACAGAGTCGCCACCTAAATATTTTTTTAATGGGGAAATTTAGGAAATCCTGACTCGGTGCCGAAGGCCACATGTCCGTCATCACCGGAGTTGTCTCGGCTCGGGAGCTTGGGTACGATCGGGGAAGGTCAGCTATGAGCACCCCCTTTCGCCCAGTCCGAAGACTGGCCTCTACTAATCGTGATATCTAGTTTTGAAAACGTTATGTGTTCTTATTCCAATTGTTAGTCTAGAATTACTATGTCATGCGCGCAGCAAACAAGTATAGACTAGATTGCCTAATTTGGAAATAAGCATTGCATATCCGTTTGTTTTGGAAAATGTTTTGGATTTTGCTACTCGCAAGTAGGCTAAAACACGGATTTCAACGAGTTTTCCAACTCAAACAATCCAACCTTCACCCACAGGCATTCAAGCAATTTATCACATAAGCATCTAGCCACATGGTAAACATGCTGTCATGATAGCATTCACACTCATACGAGATGCTAAAGCGAAAATACTTACATCGTACTTCGTGCCAAAACAATAAACTAGTTAGCAAACATGCATGTGCTAGTCCATGTCAAATTGACTAATGCAACGCATACAAGATGTACTTTAGAATAGGCTCAGCTAACCTAAGCATAGCATGTGAAATGCAGTCAATTGATGCACGTATTCAATTTGGAATTGAAATACAAATACAGTTAGCGTGATGTACCGAGCCTGATGCATGCAATACCAATGCATGAGTGCACGCATGCATAGCATAAGGTATGCTAATTTAAACGTGCCCTAATACTAACCATCAAAGCAGGTAAATAAAAAGGAAGAAAGAAGTGGGGATTGGAAGACATACACACCACTCACACACACTTAGTACAGATTTGCCCTCGCTCGGAGGGACCAAATGAATAATACAAATTAACTAACTATGCAGGCTAATTAAATATTACAAATTGCCTAATCAGCTAAGCAAATTAATTTAAGCTAAGAAAAACAGTAAACCGCCTCGGGAGGAGAGCCTGATGCAATGCACGCTCGGTCTTGCTCGGAAATGCACCGCCATGCATAGGCTGCCTCTGTTTTCCTTCCTTTGCTCCTCTGGAGGCTGCCAAAACCTCAGGACTGCTTCCTTGGACATTGGGGGACACCACCGGCTGAATAGAATTTCCACCGGCAGTGGGGTGTAATCACCGGCACAAAATGAATC